GAGCCTGCTTCGGATTCTGTGTCTCCCTCTCTCTCTGCTCATCCACCCCGCTCGCAATCATTCTTTCTCTCTCTCAAAAATAAATAAATGTTAAAACAAATTTAAAAAAAGTAAAATTTTCTTACGAGTGGATTGTGTGGTCTTATTCAAAAGCCCTATAATAATATTTAAAACTTACTATGTTCTGAAGGCCTGGCTTGTGTCTGGCCTCTGTTAAACATAATGCATGTATCACCTTATCTGATCTTCCCAACCCTTTAAGGTTGGTCTATTCAAACGTCATAATACAGATGGGAAAACTGAGGCATGACTTGCCAGATAAGAAAGCCCAAGGTTGCACATCTGGTGATCGATGAACACAGTCTACCTGATGCAGAACCCCCACCAATATACTGTACTTTGTCTTCTGCTCTGTGTCTCAGAGAGCTATCGAAGACAGAGACACCAAAGATATCTTCCAGTCAACACTCTAGCTTGAACAAGGCCATCTCAACAAACCGCCCATGGTTTCACAGCAGAGCCAACTCCGTAGACCCCTACGGCGGCATCCATCTGCACCAATGGAGATTTGGTTTCATGGAACCAATTAAAATCTGACTGATTAGACCTAGCCAACATTTTAATATTTATACATTCCATAATGACTTATATTTTGTGATAAAGTGGTGTTAGATTCCATTGATATTTTGTGAATTAACTTCCCTGAGGGAGAGTAGGAATATATATATATATATATGCACATTTTTTTAAGTTTATTTGTTTTGAGAGAGAGAGAGAGAGTAAGCAGGGGAGGGGCAGAGAGAGAGAAAGAGAGAGAGAATCCCAAGCAGGCTCCGTGCTGTCAGTGCAGAGCCCATGGATCTCACGAACCATGAGATCATGACCTGAGTTGAAACCAAGAGTCAGATGCTTAACCGGCTGGGCCATCCAGGCACCCCAGGAATATAATTTTTTAAGAATGAACACTTTCTAGCATATACTGAGTACCCATTAAGGGCTTAAAATTTTTCAACATATGTTTACCTACGTTGTCTCTAATCCTTGTGATAAATAACGGAAATATATTGTTCCCATTTTATTTTTTTCAATATTTTTTTTAAGGAGTCTCTACACCCAGTGTATGGCTTGAACTCACAACCCTGAGATCAGTAGTTACATGCTCTCCTGATGGAGCCAGCAAGGTGCCCCTGTTATTCCTATTTTAAAGTGAAGATATGGAAACGGAGCATTTAAGTAACTTGTCTAAGATCACAAAACTAAAAGCTAATAGGAAAACGTATTCTGATTTTCACCTAGAAACGTAAAATTGTTGTAGAAAAATGATATTGATGTTCAAAAATAATACGTTCAACCCAAACCTCCCCTTTCTAAGAATGAGGGAGAAAAAGTCCTGTATGGCATGGTGTGAGAGGTGGCAGTGAGGGTAGAGTTCCTCCCACCAGACAGGTTTATGAACGCTTAACTCTAGGGGCATCCGAGGGGCTCAGTGGGTTAAGCCTCTGACTCTTGATTTCAGCTCAGGTCACGATCTCATGGTTTGTGAGTTTGAGCCCCAGGTCAGGCTCTGTACTGTCACTGCAGAGAGATAATCCCTCTCTCCCTGTCTCTCTGCCCTTCCCATGCTTTCTCTCTCTCAAAATAGATAACTTAAAAAAAAAAAAAAAAAGACTCCAGAGTGCAATATTAACGTTATTTAATAACAGGCATAAAATAATCTTACCTTAGGATCTTTTTCAAGCTGTTGTTTTAGCTTTTTCCAACCTACTTTATCATAGTTAACTCTGTAATATCCAGTCATATTCAAATTTAGAATCACCCAGTCGTGATCAGAATCTGAAACTTGCATTTCAGGGAATATTTCTACAAAGGAATATGGGAAAAGTATGAAATGGTCCATCTAAAAAATATTCCAGTAATTGTTTATACTATATCCTCTTAATTCTAAATAGTAAACCCAGTAAATCCAACAAAAAAAAAGAGAAAGGAATTCTAAAATATATACTGATCTTACCATATATATTTTTTCAGAAGTAATGGCTTTGATTTAAAGCTTTTCTTTATGGCTCTGTGTTCAACCAGAATGATATAACATTTTACTTTAAAGCCAGACAGCTTTTCAAAAGCTATATGCTTCAAAATTTTATTCCCTTCTTTGATATATGTGTGTGTGGGTAATATATATTCATGCATGTATGTGAAAATATTTTAAAAATGTGTTACTTACTGCTGCTTTTATCTAGCCAAACTAGAGACTGTGTGATTCCATTTTTTATCCAGAGAATAGGTACAATCCATGTGTCGCTTATTTGGAAAAAAAAAAAAAATTCAGTTTATTCTCACAGATAAGATATAAACTCTGAGCCAATATTAAATGAGATGATAAAATAACAGACAGAACCTGAATTCTTTGGTCATTTTCTCTGGATCTGCAAGGGTTTGCTCTTAGGAGTATTCAATGTGGTTTTTATTTAATTTAATTTAATTATTTATTTTTTGTTTCAATGCTCATTTATTTCTGAGAAAGAGAGAGAGAGAGAGACAGCGCGAGCACATGAGCAGGGGAGGGGCAGAGAGAGGAGACATAGAATCCCAAGCAGGCTCCAGGCTCCCAGCTGTCAGCACAGAGCCCGACTCGGGGTTGGAACCCCTGAACTGTGAGATCATGACCTGAGCCGAAGCTGGACGCTTAAACGACTAGGCTAACCAGGCGACCCCATTCAATGTTGTTTTTATAAGCCAGTTTTGCTTTGACCATCTGTTTACTCTTTTATTTCTTCTTTACTTTTTCTTACAGCTTAAAGTAGCTACTAAGACTATCTTGTATCTGAAACTTTCTTTTTTTTTTGTATCTGAAACTCTCAAGGCCTGTTTATATTAAATTACAGCTACTTGGCCTCACTGGGGGGGTTGTCCAAATGCTGTAGACAGACCCAAATCCATCCGTGCCAAGAGAGGCCAAGAGTAATTTAAGAAGAAAAAGCTTGACAAACATTTCAAAATGCTTTTCTGCCTCAAGCTTTCTCCCCATCTGAAAAGTGTTCAGCACGGATCAGCCAGATTATTCATATTTACTGAATGCCGACATTCTTCCCACATTGGTAGACGTGACCTGGAGGAAGCTGATGACCACGAGGAGGACATTAGTCATTTGAAGAGTCACACTCCTCGGAGTTTGGGCAAGACTTGCCATCTGGCTCAAACGCTCACAAGCCTGGTTTCTCAAAAGACTTTGAACGAGGGTGTGTTGATCTAATTGCTAAGGCACACATCTTCTCAAAAGTCACGGAGCCTTGATGAGCACAGGGTGATGGATGGGAGTGTTGAAATCACTGTATTGTAGGTTCGCAACTAATACAACACGGGACATTAACGAAGTGGAATTAAAATAAAAGCTTAAAAAAAAAAAAAGCAAGTCACAGAATAGCAGCGTGGTGAGGGAACTTCAGTTCTCCTCTTTCTTTCTCCTGGGGTTTTAGAGGAAGAAGACGATGGCCTGCATACCACAGTGATGCTGTTTGAAAATTACTCCCTCGTGTGTACCCCTAACTCACCACAGTGAGAAGTGAATATCAGAACTTTATCAAACACCCTGGAACATTCTCCAACAAGTTAAGAGAGGGAAGGGAAGGGAAATAGGGGAAGAGATGGGCGCTAGGCTGCCTTACACTCATTTTTCCATTTCATTTTAACAACAGTCCCCTGGGATATACGCTGTCACATTTACTTTAGAGCTAAGGCAACAGAAACTCAAGAGATTTTTAAAATTAGACTTACCTAAGGTTTGAATTTCGGGGAAGTTGATATTTAAACCCAGATGTCAGGGAATCTAAAGGCCCTCATTCTAATATTATAGGCATGGCGATAAATACACACGTAGGTGTATGTGCGGACACGCACAGAATGATTTCTCAAGGATGCAGTGACCGTTCGATTCTGTTTCTAGGGAAAAGGAGACAGCTGTGCTGCAGGATCCCCTTTTCTCTCAACTAACATGAGGCCATGCATGGTTCTACTTTCTTGTCTCTCACCCAGAATCCTGAGGAAATGCATTCCTTCTGTCCGAAGGACGAATAAAATACATAACCCCCAAAGCACTGGCTGGTGGTGTCATCCTAAATGCCAGGGGAGGGGCACTGCCTTGAACCCTTCAGTGCAGGTCTCTGGCCTTGCTCAGGACATCAGGGGCTCTGCCTCAACCCAGCACCCCAGGAACAACACCCTGCATGGACCATGAAGTTGCCATCCCAGAGCCTCTCTGCAGAAGAGTGTGTACCCAGCTGGAGTTACATGCTTCCTCACCCGCAGGCTGCTTTCCATTTGATCAGAGAGCTCTACCCCCAAGGAAGGTGAGTACAGAGAAGCAAATGTACCTACTTGTGGGTTAGGAGAGTCTGATTTTTAACCTTTCCAAGATAAAATGGTTCCTGTTTCATGGCACCAGTAGATACATTTAAGGTGATGACTGGAAAACCACTCTGGTGTGTCCAACGGTCCATTATGCTTTTTACTGGCGCTGGCAAAAGAATTTTACTCTGGTCGTCTATGACCTGTTTTAGAAAATCATCACAAGAGCAGATATTTACCATCAAAATCTTCTGCCTAAAAGAAACTACCTGGCTATTCTGTTCCTCATCTATGCAGTGATTCCCAGTGGGTGATCTTCGGGGCCAAATTCAGAACCCTATTGAACTCTATATGTGAATGAATCCTTAGTGTATTCATTCATTCATTCATTCATTCAACACAAGTCAGGAAGTAGGACAATTACCATTTGAAAATGCCTCCATAAATCATCTTGCTCAGCAGTTGAGTAAGAAAATGTCTTCAAATAGGACTGTAAAAAATAGAAGAATGGAAAAGCCAAGGTTAAAATAAATAACATGCCAAAACCATGTAGGTCTACTTCCTGCCAAGTAACAACAATTTTGCAAACTCACCTTGAGTGCACTGATAAATACATTCTCATTCAGAAAGCTAGAAAGCATTCGGGCCAAAGATGCTCCCTAAGACATAAGAAACAGTCCATCATTTGAACAAATTCAACATATAAATACCAACACATTCCATTCTGATGAGCAATATTCTGGGCTTTTCTCCTCATTGCTTTGTGGACTTGAGTTGAATGTTTGGGTTATGCCCAAATTGCTGATAAAATAGTAGACTGTCACTAATTACTAGGTAAAAAGTGAACAAATGTCCTACATATAAGGAATTCATGGGGCATCTGGGTGGCTCAGTTGGTTAAGCACCCGACGTCGGTTCAGGTCATGATCTACAGTTTGTGAGTTCGAGCCCCATGGCGGGCTCTGTGCTGACAGCTTGAAGCCTGGAGCCTGCTGTGTCTCCCTCTCTCTCTGCCCCTCCCCTGCTCATTCTCTCTCTCTCTCTCTCAAAAATAGACAAACATTAAATAAAATTAAAAAAAAGAATTCAGGATACACAACATGTTTTAAGCTGAGATATTTACATGGTAAGAATAAATTTCCACCAAACAGGAGGGTTCTCCTTAAAAGCAGCAAGTTGTCTCAGTGTTTTTATAATGATGGATGGTACTGAGCACCTAAAATAGGCTTGATTAATGTTTGCTAGATGAGAATTGATTTATTTATACACCTCTTCTGAAATGCACCCACTCAATAAAATCACAGTTTTCTGTATCAAAAGTTTTCTAGTATCCTATTATTAATCTATTATTCTTAGAATCCACTTTATGCACCTTCATGCGGGAGTGCCAAACAAAAGAAAATATGTAACTCATTTTACCTTGTTGTAAGTAAATAAGTCAAAGAGTTCATTTATTTCACTGGTTTCTGTGAAATTTTCCACCTTCAAGGCCACAGCTCTAGACACCAGGGCGTGATCTTCACTGAGGACATGATGTAAAATGTTAGAAAAAAAGACCTCATTCTAAAAGGAAAAGAGTGAGCAGCATTAACTTCTCAGGTTTCACAGAAACACAAAATCCAAATGCTTTCAAAATGCTTACAAAAAATACTTTCAAAAACTGACACAGAAGAGGGGACAAAAAATCATTCCGATGTGCTCTATGAGCTGTCGTATGCCAAATAAGTTAGGAATCCTTGAATAACAAAATTCTAAGCTACTTTCCTTCCCCTTTAATAGCCCTTTTTATTTCAATGAAAACAAACAAACAAACAAACACCAAACCCATTACAAAGTTGATGTGTTTTCCAAGAGAGCTTATCTACATTCCCCCAAAGCAGATCCCTGGCCATACAGACAGGACCTACCAGAGAATAGCATCTTTAGGTGGTTTTAATCCTCTAGAATTTTATTGGTTATTTTATTAGTAACCCCTTAAAATGGATCAACCTCTCTTATATGAACATTTGCAAACCAAAACCAGGCCAGATTTACAAATCCAATGATGATGTCAGAATTTGTAATTGGAAATAAATCCACAGACTGGAGAGTACAGCTTACAGATCATGCATTATGAGACGACAACTTATTATATTTTAATGAGAATAACAGAACTCTGCAAAAAAAAAAAAAAAAATATGGGTGCCTGAGTGGTTCAGTCAGTTAAGCGTCCGACTCTTGGTTTCAGCTCAGGTCATGATCTTGCAGTTCGTTTGTTCGAGCCCCGCATCACGCTCCATGCTAATAACATGGAGCCTGCCTGGGACTCTCTCTCTGCCTCTCTCTCTGCCCTTCCTCTACACTCTCTTTCTCTTAAAATAAATAAACTTAAATAATTTTATTAAAAAAAATAGACTTCTCTCAGACACACAACAAAGGGCATTTCTTTTTGGAAGGAAAGATAAAAGGAAAACCAAGGTACAGCCAGAGAGGTGCGTGGGACGGCAAAGCTGAAGAAAGGATAGTGGTTAAGAAGAGACAGAGACAGCTGGCTCAGACCCCACAGAGCTGGGCGAGCCCCCTAATAATCCACAAGAAGCCTCAACTCCCCAGCGGCTATCTCTGGGGTCCCCAAGCTGACTCCTTCAATTTCTGCCTGCTTCCATTAGCCAATGTTCTAACCAACTCTCTCCTTTTTCATTTACTAACACCATTGATTCTATGGTTATCAAACTCTGCTCTTCTAGAAATCAGAAAGCCTGTCATTTAGACCAGTGCATCTCAAACTTTAATGTGAATAAGGATGCCTTGTGGATCTGATCACAATCAAACATGTGTGAATTCAGGGGCACCTGGGTGGCTCAGTCGGTTAAGTGTCCAACTTTGGCTCAGGTCATGATTTCAGGGTTTGTGGGTTTCAGCCCCACATCGAGCTCTGTGCTGCTGACAGCTCGGACCCTGGAGCCTGCTTCGGATTCTGTGTCTCCCTTTCTCTCTGCCCCTCCCCTGCTCATGCTCTGTCTCTCTCTCTTTCTCTCTCTCAAAACTAAACATTAAAAAAAAATAATAAAAACAAATAAATAAATGCAGAGTTGCAGAATGGCCCATTGTTGAGTCAATGAATGAACCATAACTGACTTCATCATTTTCCTGTTAGTTAGGCATTGAAGTTGCTTCCAGCTTTCTGTTGTTATGAACAATGTTTTAACAACACCTTTATACATAGACTTTTCCAGATTTTGTGAACTCCACCCTTGCCCCCTGAATGGATTATCTCTTCTGCCTGCCTGGTGTAAGATCTTATATCATCTTCTAGTTGTCATTATAATCATACAAGTTAACTGTGATGAATGGGGCAAACACCTCTTCCTCAATATCCTTGAGGTCGATTCTCCTCTGGGCCTCCCATAAATTAATGCTTGTTCCAGCCTGTTCCAGTCTGCTGGAGGAAAACACTTCACAAAAAGTGATGTTAGACTTTTAGAAATTCATTATCTAGCCACTACATACAGTGACTGGAGACAGGGAGTCTGTATACTCACCATTACTTTCTTCCGGTAGCTGTGAGATTATAGAGAAAAAGATCTACTCCTATTAAATCTATTTTTATCCTAAGAAACACAACAGTATTTATTACAATCAATTTGCATGGACTATCACTGTGGTTAAAAGCACAGGCTTTGGGGGCACCTGGATAGCTCAGTCGGTTAAGCATCCAACTCTTGATTTCAGCTCAGGTCATGATCTCATGGTTGGTGGGTTCGAGCCCTGAGTCGGGCTCTGTGCTGGCAGCACAGAGTTTCTTGGGATTCTCTCTCTCCCCCCCCTCTCTTTGCCCTTTCCCATTCATTCTCTCTCTGTGTCTCTCAAAATACATAAATAAACTGAAAAAAAGAAAAAAAGAAAAACAGAATTTGGAATTGAGCTGCCTGAGTGTGAATCCTACCTTACCCTCTTTGGAACTGTGTTACTCATAAAAGGCAACCAACTTTATCTCTCTGAAACTCTGGTTTCTCCATCTAGAAATGGAGGGAAGAAAACTGTCCTCATGGGATTATTATCAGGACTAAATCAATTTACATAAAGTTCGTAGCACAGTGCCTGGCGAACAGAACATGCTCAGTGAGGGTTACTCACTCACAATTACTTAACAAAATTGTCACTATTATGATTTCTGTAGTTCGCTGAGGACTGAGTCAGATAATGGATACGACGCTCTATAAACGGTAGTTGTCACGATGCTGCCTCGTAGATCCTCAATAATTTGTTGTGTGACTGCATGAAACTTACTTTACCGATGAGGAACTAAAGCTTAGAGGTGGGCAGCTTACAATGATTGTAAAAACAGAGTTAAGACGTGACTGTCTGCAAGGCTCCTATGTTCCTTTCCCTCCGCCAAGTCTGTTGCTTCCTTAAGCCAGAGAAAGAGAGACAGAAAAGTCAGTGGGTGGCAGCATCAGAGCTGGGGCTTCAGGGACCAAGAAGCCAACTGGTGCCTGATGTTTTCTGAATCTGGGACCATGACCCATTCATAACATGTTTTAATGACTTTCAGCTGAAATGAGACCAAGAAAGAAAAAAACGGGAATCTGATTCGGCATATGGTTCTGTGATTCTCTTCCCCAATGTCAATGTAATGACCAGATTAAAAGGAAGCCAAAGTTCTTGATCTCTCAAAGATCACTGAAATAAGGCTTTAAGCTTTTAAAACACAAAGCTCACGGGAGATTCCTCAAGCGCCAGGATCTCACGCTCTTTTGCCCAGAGTTATATTCAGTCAGCTTCACAAACACTGAGAAATGTAGATTCAGAAAAGAGGTGTTAAGAAAGCAAGGCTTATGGGGCGCCTGGGTGGCTCAGTTGGTTGAGTGTCTGACTTCAGCTCAGGTCATGGTCTCACAGCTCTTGAGTTCGAGCCCTGCGATCAGGCTCTGTGCTGACAGCTCGGAGCCTAGAGCCTGCTTCAGAGTCTATGCTTCCCTCTCTCTCTGTCCCTCCCCCACTCATGCTCACTCTCTCCTTCAAAAATAAGTAAACATTCAAAAATTTTTCTGAGGCACCTAGGTGGCTCAGTTGGTTTAGTGCCTGACTTTGGCTCAGGTCATGATCTCGCAGTTTGTTGGTTCAGGCCCTGTGTCGGGCTCTGTGCTGACAGCTTGCTCAGAGCCTGGAGCCTGCTCCAGATTCTGTCTCCCTTTCTCTCTGTCCCTCCCCCACTCACACTCTGTCTCTGTCTCTCTCTAAAATAAATAAACATTAAAAAAATTTTTTTAAGTATAAAACAAATTTTTTTAAGCAACGATTAAAACAAGTAACTAAATGCTACAAAAAGAGGCTAATCTTATATTTGCTTCAAAAACACCAGTAATATATTTTCATCAAATTTTCCCAGATATGATAATACCTTAGCCATTTCAATTGCATTAAGGGGTAATTGATCGATGGCAATGATATATTCCATTCAGCTAAGAAAATAAAGGATGAATCTAATTGTTTCGCAGGAATGGAACTTCTTTTCTTATTGAATCCAAGCAGGGTTAATTTGGGATACAACCAAATGCTTTCATAAACAGTTATAGATGACATAAACCATGCATAGATTCTAGCTTCTCAAAGAGAGATATAAACAATTTTGTAGGTATAGAGTATATTGAAAGGACTTTTGAAGACAACTGATGTTTACATATATAAAGTTTATCTAAATGGAAAGAGTCATATAATGAACTCTCACACACACACACACACACACACACACACACACACACACACACATCCCATTAGCTCTTAGAGGACAAGAACACTCCTGTGAATCTTCTCTGCAGAGCACAGTGGGGTGAAGGCATGGGCTCAGAGTCAGAGAAACCTGGGACCGAACCTCATCTCTGACATCTAGTAGCCATGAGACCTTGAACAACTTACTTAATGCTCCTAAGCCACTTTCCTCTACCGGAAAATGGACAAAATGACAACTAGACTCCTATGATCGTTTTGAGAACTGAGTAAGATGAGGCATGTACGAAACTCACACTACCTGGGATGTAAGTCCTAAGCACTTGGGGTATAGGAAAGGCAGTATTATTGCCATTATTATTGTCATCACCTTCGTCATCAGACCAGACCCAGACAACTGGGTTATAATCACACTTCTGTCTCAATCATGCAAATGACTTGGGCAAGTCACTTGACCATCCAGTACTTTAGTTTCCTTATCTACGTAATGATGTCCAACCTAAGGGAAGGAGGGCAGGGGCACCTCAGGGCAGCTGGACTGCGGGGTGGTGGGCGATTTATAGGAAGTCCACAAAGTATACGGTGGGTTGCATGGAACCAGGGTATTGTGGGGTGCCTGGGCGGCTCAGTCAGTTGGGCATCCGACTCTTGATTTCGTCTCGGGTCATTGTCTCACGGTTCGTGGGATGGAACCCTGCGTTGGGCTCTGTGCCGATGGCGTGGAGCCTGCTTGGGATTCTCTCTCTCCATCTCCGCCTGCCCCTCCCCCATGCTCACTCTCTCCCTCTCAAAATAAATAAATAAACTTAAAAAAAAAAAGAGGCTGCTACATCAGTGCTTCCCACAAACTGAATTCATGAATAGGTTAAAAAAAAAGGGGGGGGGGTTAAATAAAGTTTCCATGGGGCCAAGTTAGGTTTGCCAATGTTTTATTCTGCCAAATTATCAGCAAAAAAAACCAGAATATCATCTACCTACCGTCTCCATCCTCTCATTAAAAACAGAAATTTTATTGCCAATGTAATAGGAAAAACATAAGCTTAGAATCTCCTTCGAAGTGAGTACATTTAGCCTGTAATAATGACCTGGCCAGTGGAGATTAATCAGCCTTTCGAATATCAGTATACTGAGTGAGGATGGGGAAAGAAGGAAAGAGGCCAAGAACCAAGCTTGGAAACACTGGGGGGAAGGGATGAGGGACAGGCCAGCAAAGAGCAGTGGGATAAGCAACCCTGAGCATCTGAAAGGTAAAGGCAGGGGTGCCTGGGTGGCTCGGTTGGTTGAGCAGCAGACTTTGGCTCAGGTCATGATCTTATGGGTTCATGAGTTTGAGCCCCACGTCACGTTTGCTGCTGTCCCCATAGAGCCCCGTTGGGATCCTCTGTCCCCCTCTCTCTTTGCTCCTCCCCTCCCCCCCCCCACTCACGCACTCTCTCTCGAAAGTAAATAAACATTTTAAAAAATGAGAAGAAAGAAACAAAGGTAAAGGGAGGCAGGGACAGAGGGGACGCAAGGACCCCAGGCTGCTATAAAAAATGAGGACATGTGAGGGATGATGGCAATATTTATTACATCTAAACATTTAAAGATCAAAGCCAAGTAAAATCAATTCAGCTTTATCATGACATTCTAAAAGCAGTACCTAATTAATCTACCTAAACGACCAGAAGTACAACTTATAGTTGAAATCACCAGATTTGCATATTCATGAAGTTATATTTTCATACTACTATTCATTGAAAATGGCAAAATACTATCAACTATAACATATATGCTATCAGCAACATAGCTGATATATAATTTAATAATATAACATATTATAAATATAACATTACATTTTATATATTATATATATTATATTTTATAAATACCATAAAATGTTATCCATACTATTCCATATGCTATCAACAACATAGCTGATATATAATTTCACAATAATATAATATTATAAAATATTGTAACATTACATATTAGTATATATTACATATATATTTTATAAATACTATAAAATATTATATTATCCATATTATTCTATTTTATTTAATGATATTACTTACCATTAAAGTCAGAGACTACTAATTACAGTGGCTTTAGAATTTAGTCTAGGTAGGAATAAGTGAAAATGACCTAAAATCTGAGAGTAGGGGAATAAAATATGTATATATCTCATAAGGTGACATAATAAAATATTAGGCAACCCTTAAACATCCTGTTTTCACTGAAGGTTGATGGGGGTGGGAGGGAGGGGAAAGTGGGTGATGGGCATTGAGGAGGGCACCTGTTGGGATGAGCACTGGGTGCTGTATGGAAACCAATTTGACAATAAATTTCATATTAAAAAAAATTCCTGTTTTCAAAAATGATATAATGATTTGTGGAAACTCTCTTGATACAATAGGTAGTACAGAAGGCATTACATGTTTCTGTGTGAAAAAAGTAATTCCCACTTTTACGAATATTTATAATGAGTAAAATCCTGGAAAAAGAAATCACGAAAAAGAGAACACTGATCATCTCTGGTATTACAGATAATTTAACATTCCCTATATTTTTCTGTATTTCACACACTCGAAACAATGAAATGCATTACTTTTATAATTAGGAGAAAAAAATATAAGTAAATTTAACAGACACACTTACTCTTCGGAATTTAGGATTGAAGTAGTTAATGACTCCAAATTCAAAATAAGATGCAAAACCTTCTTTGAGCCAGATATCATTCCACCAATTCATGGTAACCAGATTTCCAAACCACTTTTGGAGATGGGAGAAAAAAGAGCTTTCTTAAATTTAACTTAAGTAATATTTACTGTAATTGCATGTTAAATAAATGTAAGGTCAAAGACACAATTAAACTTTATTTGCCTTCAATAATCAAACTTGAAAATAGGACTCCAAAAAGCAGGTTGTTGCTTTAACATGAAGAGATAGCAGCCGTGCATTTCTCTGAAATAATTATTTCACATCCAAATGACTGAAAGCAATTTGTTTTAAAACTGTCAAGTTCAGGGGCGCCGAGATGGCTCAGTCGGTTAAGTGTTCGACTGCGGCTCAGGTCGTGATCTCACGGTTCCCGAGTTCGAGCCCCATGTCAGGCTCTGTGATGACAGCTCAGAGCCTGGAACCTGCCTCAGATTCTGTGTCTCCCTCTCTCTCAGCCCCTCCCTCGCTCACGCTCACTCTCTCTCAAAAGTAAATAAACATTAAAAAAAAAAACTGTCATGTTCAAAGATGAGGTAAGCTAGAGTAGCATTTCCTAAACTGTCCACTTGCCCAAAAGTTACATTAAGTTAAATAAAGCAGAAGGTTGGAATGTTCAATTAACACCTACTAATTATAGCATCCTACAAATAGACTACATCAGGATTTTTCTGGAAGCAGTTATTATGTTTCAAGAACATGTTTTGAGCTGTGCCATAGACAAATCACTCATATGTTCTACAAAGTGGTCCAGCTGTAATTATTGTCTATTTGACCTTAACAGAAAGAAAGTGCCAAATGGACGATGCATAGAATCAGGAAAGAAAAACAGAATAATTTCTAAAACCAACTAATCCATACCCTAGTATTTAGTCAAGTTCTTATAACAGCTGTGATATACTAATAGTCATCAGCCTGTCTTCCAAAACAATGTGTCGCTTGAGAATCATAAAAAAATGACATATTGGGGGGACTGATCAAAACTTGTCAAGGTTTGTTTTGACTACGCAACAAGGGGTTATTCTATCCTAGTAAATCACTCTTTCCCAAAACTTCTTATAGATCCACATGGCAAGAAGATAACAATTTCATAGCTTAGAGCATTTCTTTCTTGACAAACTGGTATGAATGGAGTCAAGGTCAAAAAGCAGGTGTGAGAACCTCCATTAAACACACAGCAAAGCTTCTAAAATCACGGTGTGAAGGCACAGATCTAAAGAAATAACTCCTTGTTTACACTGATTTTGGGTATGCAGCTTGAGGATTGTTTACTAGTCATCCCACTGACATTAACATTGCTGACACCCCTTTAACCTCTCTTCAAAAAACAAAACAAAGTCTATAATGATGTACTGATGAAAGAAATGTGGATATCCTTCAGTGACCTTTTTGAATATCCCTTATTTTAAGATGGAATGAAAACAAATTATCATCCCTCTGGTTGACTTACTTTCCTTGAACAGGGCTCTGTGGAGTAAAGTCTACCTTTGGGTATGAATACTTGACCTCTGAATGGCCTGTAAGGTCTCATCTCTATGATCCATCACCAATAGTTCAAATCCACACAAGATCTGATTACACAGATCCTTCCTTCATTGTCCCACTTTTTGAATGATTTTTTAAAATCTGGTGTACCATAGGGGCACCTGGGTGGCTCAGTACATTGAGCATCCAACTCTTGATTTCAGCTCAGTCATGATCTCAGGGTTTATTGGTTCCAGCCCTGCATCTGGCTCTGAGCTGACAGCATGGAGCCTGCTTGGGATTCTCTGTCTCCCTCTCTCTCTCTGCCCCTCCCCTGCTTTCTCTCTCTCCCTCCCTCTCAAAATAAATAAATAAACATTAAATGAATGAATGAATGAATGAATGAATGAATGAAAGTAATCTGGTGTACCATACAGTTTTTTGTTTTGTTTTGGTTTGGTTTTTGCTATCCTTGGTAGAGCAGCTGGAGAATATCTTCATGTGAAATAAGAAAGAACATTTTACCACATGCCTGATGTCCAATCTCGTGGGAGAGAATGAAGGAGATCACAGCCTTTTTGTCTGTTACTTGATCATTTGGTTGCATCAACAATAATGACTCATCGAATATCAATAGTCCCCAGTTTTCCATTGCACTGTTGTCAAAAGTAGGCAAGGCAATTATATCTAAGTGGATTTAAATGGAGGGAAAAATGAAATCATCTCTTCCAAAAAGTTTGAGATTTCCAGATATAAGTATGTCAAAATGAAATCATAAAATTACTCAAAGAAAATGCAAGTGAGTATTTTTAATCTGAGGGGAGAGAAGACTAATACCGAAGACAGAATCCAGAAAACAAATCGCTTTGATTATCTGAAAATCACATACTTTTGATAAAGAATCTGCACAGAGAACTCTTAAAACATAACTATAAAAAATAAACTTTTCAAACTTGGCAAACAACCCATCTGAAGAGACACTTTATGACATAAGATAGGCAAAAAGGAAATAGGCATATTAAAAGATGCCCAACATCATAGGTCATCAGAAAATTGCAAATTAAAACAACGGGATACTACGACACAACTATTAGGATGGTTTAAATCCAAAACACACCAACAAATGCTGGAGAAGATACGGAACAGCAGGAACTCTCCCTCATTGCTGGTGGGAAGGCAAAATGGCATAGACGCTTTGGAAGACAGTTCGGCGGTTTCTTAAAAAACTAAATAAATGCTGACCATATAGTCTAGCCATTGAACTCCAAAGTTCTTCACCCACGTGAGTTGAAGACTTAAGTCCACAACAAATAGCAAATGAATGTTTACAGCAGATTTATTGGTAACTGGGAAAAATCAGAAGCAACCAAGATGGAGTTCAAAAGGCGAACGTATAAACAAACTTCAGTATATCCATCCATACCATAGAGCATCATTCAGCAGTAAAAAGAAATGAGCTATCCAACTATGAGAGATCACAGAGGAAATTTACACGCAGATTGCTAAGCAAAAGACGCTAGCTGGGAAAAGCTATACAATGGTACCACTCCAACTACAGCAAAACCTTGGTTTGTGAGCATAATTCATTCCAGAAACACATTGGTAATCCAAAGCACTCGTGTATCCAAGTGAATTTCAGGAACCATTGGCTCAGTAGTGACCATGTGACGTTCAGCATCACGTACTACTCACATTACAGAACACTGCTCGTTGATCAAGTTAAAATTTATTAGAAATGTTTGCTCATCCTCTGGAACTCTGGAACAAGTTACTCGCAATCCAAGGTTTTACTTACAGAAAAGGTAAAAGCAGAGAGACAGGAAAAAGATGTGTGGTTATCAGGACTCTGGGCAGAAGGGGGGGATGCATATGTAGAGCACAGGGGATTTTTATGACAGTGAAACTATTCTGTAAGATACTGTAATTTTGGACACGTGTCAATATACGTTTGTCAAAACTCATAGAATGTCCAGCACCAAGAGTGAAACCTAATGTAAACTACAGGCTTTAATTAATGATATCGTATCAATATTGGTTCATCAATTGTAACAAATGTGCCACCCTAATGGAAGATATTTACAGTAGGATAAACTGGGGGCGGGGGGAGGAGAGGAGGTAAATGGGAAAACCCTACGCTTTGTGTGTAATTTTCCGATAAACCTGCAACTGCTCTAAAAAATAGTCTAGTTACAATGAAATATTTTAGTTCACCAAAAGACACCATAAACAAATATGAAAGGCAAGCCACAAACTGGGAAAAATATTTGCAGCATATAGCACAAACAACTAGACAATGGTTTTTTTCAATACTAAAAAAAAAAAAAAAAACCCTAACAAATTAAAATTTAAAAAAAAATGTGAACAGGGGCGCCTGGGTGGCGCAGTCGGTTAAGCGTCCGACTTCAGCCAGGTCACGATCTCGCGGTCCGTGAGTTCGAGCCCCGCGTCGGGCTCTGGGCTGATGGCTCGGAGCCTGGAGCCTGTTTCCGATTCTGTGTCTCCCTCTCTCTCTGCCCCTCCCCCGTTCATGCTCTGTCTCTCTCTGTCCCAAAAATAAATAAACGTTGAAAAAAAAAAAATTAAAAAAAAAATAAAAATAAAAATAAAAAAAAAAAAATGTGAACAATTCACTAAAGAAACAATTAAAATAGTCAAAAATCTTACTTGAAACATTCAACTTCATTAATTATCAGAAACAAAAATTAAAACAGTGATATAACTTAATCTTTCAAAGGTGTGAGAAGATTAATAATTAGTACTGTATTAGTATTAATAATTAGGTAAAGGAGAACTGGCATAATGCCTGTTGATAAGGGTGTGAACTGCTACAATCTTTCCAGGACAATCCAGCAAAATGCTTTATAATTTTTAAAAATGTTCCTACGCGTTGGCTAAGTCATTTAACTTTTGGAATTTACACTAGGGCAAACAGCATGGATATTTGTACACACTCCTTATGTTTTCTTTAGTGTTTCTTTTTTTTTTTTTT